CCTGCGCTGGTGGAAGGCTTGGGTTTGCTTCCCTGTCCCGTATGTGTTGTAGTAGCGCCCCCGCCTTGCGCGGCTGCTCCGAATTTCCGAGAGCTGCTTCTCCCGGAAATTCGGCGCGCAAGGGGCTGAAGTAGCAAAGTAGTTAAAGAAGAAAAGTGTCTCTCCTGGTGTTTTGGGCCTGACCCAAAGCTAGGAAAACTAGCGGTCCCTTCGGGGAAGTGGGTCCCAGGGTGGGCTGGTAGATGTGATATATTTTATTAGACCAACTGAGTAGTTGGAGAAAAGTTCCTGGCAAACTTTGGGCACAATCGCCTTTCAGGCACAGGGAGTCGCTGCTGCTCTGAGACTCCAAGGAACGAGAGAAGCTAAAAGTGTGGCAGCATGCCAGTGAGACTGTAAATGGAGAGAAATTAAGAAAACAAAAGGTAGAGGAGGGAGAGGGGTGGGAAGGAAAAAAGGGGTGAGGGTGGGGAAGCAAAAAGTGAGCAAACGAGACTACAGTAATAGTAATTCAAGGTAGAAAAGAAGCTGTCTGTGAGAAAGGAAGTAGCTGGAAGTTAAGAAGAGAAAGGAAGTAGCTGGAAGTTAAGAGAAAGGGCAGAAAAGTAGGGGAGAAAGAAGGAACAGAAAAGTGTAAGAGGTCAGGTCTGTCAGGCTGGTTTACATGCATCATCTGTGAAATAGTATGAGCAGTTGAAGCCCTCGAATACAGATCCCAAGTTTAGAAGGTGCTTCCCTAAAAAGACTGCTGCAAGCCTTTTGAACCAAGTCTCATTTATACCCAGTTTGCAGTCCCCTGTGAGTATATTTGTCCTCTCTTCCTGCCTATCACTGGAGGTTCCTGTTAAGACTAATTTGCTTTTACAGACAATAAAACAATACTGATCTTACATAACTGAAATCACTTGTTTAAATTACAAACTAGCCAAATTGTGCTAGGACCAAACCTACTGGGCGAGGTCTTCACTACAACATTTACCTCTGAGAAATCAGGTCTGAATGTATCTATTAAAGGTTCTGAGCAGAATGAAATGCAGGGGTGAGGTAATTCATGTGTAAATGTGGGACTTGCTTGGCTGCAGGAATTGCATATTACTGTGTATTTTTCTCCGTTACCAGAAGAAGAAAGAAGTTTTTTCTTTTTATTTTGCAAGTTAATAAGGCTAGCAAGTAGGAGTGGAGAGGTGGCATTATCTTTATGCACAGTTTTGCTGAGACTTTTCCTGGAGTAGGTTTTTCACTTCTGTTGTCCAAGTTTCAAAAAGGACAGACAGGAAAGAACGATAAAAGTTACGATGTAGGAAAACATGTAGCATAGGGACAAACTGGCGAAGCATGATCATAAAAACTGCAATTTACTGGGTCAGACCATAGGTCCATCTTGCCCAGTGTCCTGTGCCACATTGTGTTCCCCAGTGGCCTCCCTTATTAAAAGGCTTATAGTATTTTGTGATGGGTACTAAGCCCATTATTTTATGGCACATCAAATAGGCCTGTGTCACATTGTGGCGGAGAGCAAATGCTGAAAGGGAGAGTGAACTGGGTATGATCAGGGTTTTTTTCCACAGATCCACTCTCACTTGTAGCCTGTAGTATTTAAGATCTAGGACAGTGTAACAGGGAACCCTAGAACTGTTACAAGAAAGCGGGGTGGCCTTTTTGAGATCTGAGTTTTAAAAGCACAGCCTGCCAACTGGGCAGGGGTTAAAGGCTAAGCCTGCAGGCCCGTCAGCTGACGGGGTATGTCAGGTGACTGTGAGAGAGCCTAAGGCCAGAGCTATACAAGCCCGTGGAGGGGGGGGGGGGGGGGGAGATGGATGGTGAACCTCACAAGTTCCTAGCAAAACTACAGTTGCTGTACAACTGGGAGCATCTGGCAGTGAAGACTCAGACATGGGGAGCCCATGAAAAGAAAACAAGTAAGAAGACTAACTGTCACCTTTAACTTTTTGTTATAGCCCAGGGGTTTACTATTTCTGTTATAGTTTGTGTGGTATCTGGAGTGTACCTTGAAGGGGCCTGCAGTGGAATGTTTCAATCTGTCCCCCTGATGCCCCGGGGGTGCGGTTTGTTGGTGGTGGGTTGTGGTTCTCCCCACAAGCTGTGTGTGCGCGTTTTGCTGAATCGTGTTCCTAATAAAGATAAAGCTGTTTACCATCCCATCAGTCTCTGCTGAATGCTGACTTGAGTACAGAATCCCAGGGGCATGGAGGGTTAAGTAAGTACCCTATCCCAGGAACCCCATGGCAAAGAGCAAACACTATAGTTTGTGAATGAGGCTGTAGGGGAGGTGGAGACCTCATTAGCATTCGGGGTGGGGGGGGTGCAGCTGCAGAGGGGCAGGAGAGCTCAGCCCCAGAGGGGAGCAGCAGACAAGGGCCAGGGGCTCAGTGATAGATATTATACAGGGCAATGAGCCCAGAGTGCGTTAAAGAGCTGGAGCCTCAGAGTTGGGCCCTATCTAGTGGGTCTAAGCTGGTCAGCCTAGAGAAAAAGGGGTAGAAACCAAGTAGGCCGAAGCCCTAGTGACCTAAGGATAAAACCTGTGAGGCGTGAGGCACGATAAGGAGAGGTTGGAGCGTGCAATTAGGCCTTTCAGGCAAAAGCTCCTCACCTTTGAGAGTGTGAGCACAGTGCGAGCTCCTTACCTTTGTGAGTGTGAGCAAACACCGCTGAAGATGACACCTTGTTACAGACAGGTAGATAACCCCTAGCACGGGTGCCAGTGTGGCACACAAAGGCATTTTGCCTGGCATGTGTGCCTTGGGTAGGGTTATCATATTTCCAGTGTCAAAAAAGAGGACACTTGTGGGGGAAGGGGAAAGAGGGGGGAAGGGGCATATGATTGGGGGGGCAGTGATATGCCCCTGCCCTGCCTCTGCCCGTCACTCCTAAGCCCCTGCCCCCCCCAGCGCTGCCAGTGCCCCTCACTCCTGACCTGCAACCCCCTACACCCCTAGCATCTCCTGCATACACACACACACGGTTTCTTTACCTGGCTTGCCAGGGCCCGTGAGCAGAGCACGTGACCCCTGACAGCCAATCACCTTGCCTGTTGCTCCCAGGCCCAAGCAGCCAGCCCAGGAAAGCAGAGACAGAACAAAAACCTGGACCTTTGCTCACATTTCAAAACCTGCCTGGACATGAGGACAGGAGCCAAAAAAAGAGGACATTTCTAGGAAAACCCAGATGTATGGTAACCCTAGCCTTGGGGAGGGTGGTGTGGGAGGAGCTAGGGTTGTGCTGCTACAATAAGGAATGGGTCCCCTCGCAATTCTCTACCATCTGCCCCTGGCACACCTTACAAATTGAGGTTGTGGGTCTTTTTGGCCCTCTGCCCAAAAACATTGCTGACCTCTGTTGTAGGAAGTTCAGATTTAGAAGCTGCGCCCCTAATTCCCATGCTCAAGAGCCAATCCCCCTTTTCTCCAAGAATTTGTCCAATCCATTTTTGAATCTGGATTAACTAACCCTCCACAACAACTGGTGGTGATGGGTTCCACCCTTTAATTATATGCTGTGTGAAAGAGAGTTTCCTTTTATTAGTTTTCATCTTACTACCTACTATTTTGTATTTCCAACAGTAGGTTAAAAATGCAATATTTACAGTTATGTATAAGTACATGAGGAAAAGTTTATGATAGCTAATGCCTTTTTAATCTGTTAGAAAAATGTATAGTGACATGAATGGTTAAAGTTAATTCAGATTTAGAATTTTTTGGGGGGGGTTTGGTTAGGATAATTAACCATTAGAACAACTTCGCCAAGATACAGTAAAGCTCAAACAGATATATGAACTTGTAGATTTTGCTGGGTGTAGTTCTGCAGTTTGTGTTACACAGAGGGTCGGGCTAGATAATCATAATGGTCCTTATAGACTTCAACAAACTGTTCTTTTCAAATATGTATTTTTACTGCTCTCCAAAGTGACTTGTTATTTGTATAAAAGGTACATGATTATTCCACTTAAAACTGCTGAAGTTTATAGCAAAAATATTAGTTATTCTGTTGAAAAAGCTCTGAAACCTTGATATACATTGAGAAATAAAACTGAAAAAGATAGGGAGGTCTCAGAATAAATTAATGCATAAGTGGGATGCTGCCATGAAATTGTCCAAAAGACACTGCAGGATTCCTTTAGTCTGAGAATTAAGGGCCCTGCTATGTGTTCAAATTAAAGCTAGATAGAAACCAACTATAGGGTTGTTACACATTTTCAAACACTATACATCTGGTTGGCTATTTTTATAGCTAGATAGTCATTTTTATTGTGTCATAATTACTGTGTGTGGCAGGTCTAAATTTATTGCATGATTAACCATTTATTGCATAATATATGTAATGTGTAGCAGGTGCCTCATTGTCCATGTGCTAAGGGGCCATCCCTGGGGACAGTCAGTATAAACCATCCACCTATCTAGGACAGTTTGCCCACCTGCCTTGCCTTTGCTGTAATCATACAAATAGTTATTTGTAAGGTGGGAGGCTGCCTATTTTAATGCCCTGATGCCAAGGGTGCAATACACAGTTCTGACCTTCCCTTTTCCATGTCCCATGCCTCGCAGATGGCATCCAAAGTACTCCTAACTCCCCTGGCCCCATTGCTGAGCCATACTCTACCTCTGGCCCAAACTTGGCATCAGGTCTCTGCAGGCTTACCTGGGCCACATGCTGCCTCCCACTAGGTCCTCTACTTATGCCCCCTCACTGGGGCTACAACTCTCGCTCTGGACTCTTTGACTTTCAACAGGCTTCTAGGCTTTTACACTCTACCCCTCACTAGGGGCAGTACTCTGCCCACTCACCAGAGCTACAGGGCCTTATGCCTCACAGG